CTGTGACCCCAAGCTGCAACATCTGCTTCCAGGCAGATTCTATTTTATTTTTTTTTAAATAATTTATTTCCTCCTCAATCCCCTTCTCGGGGGCGGATTTGGATCCAGACGGGATCCCACGGCTGTGGTTGGGAACCGGTTGCTGCCAGCGCACGGCCCCAGTGCACGGTCCTGGAGGCAGAATGGCAGCGTGTGATGCTTGCATGGCTCTGGCACTGAATATCACAGGTTTTGGGGCATTTTAAGGCAGAAATAACCACTTTGGCCTGTGTGATGCAGCCTGCGTGCAATGTTCCTGCCAGGAGTCCTGCATGGAGCTGGAGCGGATCATAAAAGCATTTCCAACCTGAGTGCATGGGATGAGGGATCCTGGTCCTGGCAACGTGGCCAATGGGTCCCCTCATTAGTCCCCAAGCAAAGTGGCACCCCGATGGCATCGCCCGCCGGCAGCTGAGCCACCGCTCATCGCTCCATTCCGTTCCCCTTTGCAGGACGGGGCTGAGCATTTGGGCCGGTGAACAATAGCAGCGCTGGAAAACAATGGAGCTGCTGCACCTTCGGGCTTAGGGACGCTGGACGGACGCTCGGAAGAAATCCCGGCTCCAAAATAGCGCCTGGGGCATCCTTTGGGATCCTGGTCCTGGCAACGGGGCATCCTTTAGGATCCTGGTCCTGGCAATGGGGATGGGGCATCCTTTGGGATCCTGGTCCTGGGAACAGGGATAGGGCATCCTTTGGGATCGTGGTCCTGGTACCAGGGATGGGGCATCCTTTTGGGATCCTGGTCCTGGCAATGGGGATGGAGCATCCTTTGGGATCCTGGTCCTGGGGTGCAACCTGGGTGCCAGAAACAGGTTGTCCTTTGGGAACACAGTCCCAGAGCCTGAACCAGGGGTTTGAGACGGAGCGTCCTTTGGGATCCCAGTCCCGGGGTGGGCGGTGGGGGGCGGTGGCGCTGAAATTTGGACTTTGCTTGTGTCCTTCATGCAGGAGCTGACGATGGAGCTGGAAGAGAAGCAGGACATCTTCCGCTCCCTCCAAGACACGGCCGGA